AGTAAATATATTATTTACCTACAGTGATATAAATAAATTACAGTATTAAGAGACTGTATTCTATCAAGAATATAAATTATTGCTCTACTAGGAAAGGATCTACAGCCGTGGGCTCCTGCGGGTGGTTCACATATATATATTTTGACCCATGGGTGGTTTGTATACTATCTTGACCCGGCCCAAACCCAACAGGCTGGGTTGCAAAACCTGAAAAACCCGGCCCAACCCGCGGGCCTAACAAGTCTATAGTCTAGTAAATTAGATTATATTATATATAATCTATATACTAATTCTTTGCCTTAAGATAATCTTCTTTATATAAACTTAGAATAATTATTTTATTTATATATAAAAGAACCAGCCATATCTTATCTCTAGTAAATTATTTATAAACTATAACTATTCTAATAATAGTATACTTAATTATAGCCTTAATTTTAATAAGAGTCTTCTTTATTCCTTACAGGAAAATATATAAGAATAGAGTAAATAATCTACTTTTTTCTTAAAACTTTAGCTAATCTTTAAAGACTCTAAGAAATATCTATCTTTTACTATTTATAATTAGATTTTTATTTAATTAAAAGAGCTTGGCTTTAATCTCTAGAATTCTTCTAAGTATACTAGAGAAGATATTTTTACTTTATTTTATATAACTTACTTTAATCTACAGGCTAGGATTTTGGCCTATATTAGATAGAAAAATAAGCCAGAACTAGACTTATTAAGCTAGCTAATAAAAGAATTTAATTAGAAGCTAATAACTAACTAGAATATCTTCTAAATAAAGATTTTATATAATTAAAAGAAATCTAGAGATATAGAGACTAGCTAGATTTAGATATAGCTTAGAATTTATTATACTGCTACTCTAATATATAATCCTGCTCTTTATATATTAATTAAATCTATAAAAATCTTTTTTAATATACTTAAAATAAGTTCCTGAATCTCTTACTATTCTTATATAGATAAAGTATATAGTAATATTCTTATCTATAGCTTATACTTTATTTAATAAAGCAGAACTTCTCTATCTTATATATAAGATATAGAAATAATTAATCTTATTAATTCTTTTTTTATATCTTTAAATATATCTTTAACTATAATTACTATCTTTATCTTTTCTAAATCTTTTTTATAGATAACTTAATTTATTTATTATAATTATATAGATAGAGCTGAGCAGTTATATTAACTTAAGATTACTTATATAAAGAAGAATAAACTAAGCAGTATTATATCTATTTTTATTATTTTTATTTATTTTTATATCTTAGAGCTAAATCTTTATATAGATAGAAAATAATATATCTCTTTATATTAGTCTATACTTTTAGCTTATTTCTTATTAAATATTAATATCTACTAGATTAAATTACTGCTAAGCTTTTTTCTTATATAATTAAATTCTTAGATAACTTTCTCAAGATTAATCTTTTAACTAAGCTTCTAGATAAATATAAAAAAGATAGTAATCAGTACTTTTTTATTTAAATAATTTAGAAATTAGAGCCTGTCTACTTTACTAAAGATATTAATAAGAAATAGTCTTTAGAGATACTTTTATTAATATAGTTTTAAAAAAATAAAGAAGATCTAGAGACTATCTATATAATTATTATATAAAAGAAATATATAGATACTTTTACTAAATTAAAAAAAAAATAAAGAAAAAAATAAAAAAGAAGATAAAGTCTAAATCTATAACTAAGATTAAAATAAAATCAGTTATATAGAAGATAACTAAAAAGTATTTATTCTTAATTATTTTTATTAAGATAGAGCCAGAAGAGTTACCAGTAATTAAAAAAAAAAAAAAAAAAAAAGTCTAATTCTTTATTTAATTCTCTATTACTATTAGTTTAGCTTCCTGAAGAAAATAATATAGCCTATTATATAAGATAGTACTATATTTTTTAACCAGAAGATCTTGAATACTTTACTAAATTTAAATTAGTTTAATTACTACTTAACTATATAAAAATATAACTATTTAATTATCTTTTTTACTATTTTAATATCTATTTATTCTCTTTAATTATATAAGTATTTAACTACTTAGCTATTTATTCTATTATTTTATTAATTATCTAGTCTGTTTAGTTATATAAGAATTTAACTACTTACTATAATTAGTTACTGTTCTTAATAAAGATTACTTTTATATCTATATATAATTACTCTACTGGATTCTGGAGTTTTAATAGTCTAAGGCTATCTAAGATTACTAAGATCTTAGTAATATAAAAGTAGAGATAACTTTATTTTTTTTTTTTTCTCTTTCTCTAATTACCACTACTACTATTATATAATAGTATATAAGCTATATTAATTCTCTGTCTCTTTTTATTTCTTAAAATATCTACTAACTGTTTTTATATAATTTATATAATTCTTACTATAAGGATTATATAAATTATATATATATTAGTCTTAATCCTAATAATACGCCTATTAACGTGTCTACTAATTATCCAATAAGTCTGGAGGAACTGGAAGCTCTTTTTACCTGTATTCTTGGAATAATAGCTCCAGGCAGAAACCCTGTTCTCCCTATTGGGAATTGTCTATTGTCACAGTATACTTATAATAATATATAGAGAGCCTTGCTGGCCTGTACAGGGCGCTTCATAGCTTTTATCTCTGGCAGAGTCAATACTAGGCAGATCTTTAGCATGCGCGACTCGTATATCAATGCCCTGCTCATTCAATCAAGGGGGGTTCATTTGGAGCAACCTTATATAAGATGCCGGGGTATACTTGGCCAATATACCTTCCCTGAATACCGCTATATTCCAGAGGCATTTAGTGGAGCATGCGCCAACTGTAAATAGCCTGACTATACAAGTCAGTGTTCTGTTTGAGATAAGAATTGGGAGGCTGTATAATCTATTAACAATAGTTTATTCCAGGGGGCTCAAGGACAGCGGCCATGTTTTCTAATTAACTTAGATTTAGAGAAGGGCGATAGGGCTGATAATCCAATTAACTTAGATAAGTATAAAGAAGGAGGGGCTAATAACCCTATATATCTTTAAGGTATGTATAAGATTTCTTTTGTTTACAGGCATATCCCCAGTACCAGCATTCCTAGTTGTACGGGCCCTGTATACAACACCTTGAGCAAGGCTTGTACCTCTTCGTGGTACTCAGGACAAGTAGCCACTAGCTACGTGGTGAAACCAAGCAGGCCATTATGTATGTACATATTTATTTTTCTGCCGGTCCTATACTAGCGCTTACATGAAATTTTTGTTGTTGCAGTTTTGTCTTAAGGGTCTGCCGTACTAATGCCGGTCTTCCGGAAGCCAAGATACCTGTGCAAAGACATATGTAATCATACTTCGGATTTATACCGCGAAATGTAGCAGTTGAACCAGACCAAGTATAACTTGTTCTTTAGTTAATATATTCCGTAGGTACCTTCACGTACTTGATTTTCTAGGAACCACCAGACCACCCAATCAGGCACCACACGTGACCTAAGTGGTAGCACGATCGCACGATAGCAACATCGCAACGCTCAACCATCTGCTACCAAGCTACCATCATACCAAACTACCTCAGCTATCATCACCGGATTGAACGGATATAAGGGCACTCATTACCATGTACTTAGATAGTTCTTGTTTAGTTCTTCGCGTTCAATACAACGGTCATTGATAACTACCAAGTTACCACTGCTAGCACGATTCGTCCATACTCTTATCACAAGCGGATATATGTATCCTCTTGGCCTTGCTTCTACCTTGCTCGGACTAGTGGATTCTAGTCACCTTCGTGCTTGAACTACTACACTAGCAGGTTGCGCAGCTTAGGTAGATCCCAGGGTTTGACACGAACTCACGACATGAGTGGCTTGCTCCAACTTCCTGTCACGCATTTTTGCAATCACTATTGGACTGCTTCTTGAAAACGTGGCACCTTATCGTGCCAATATGCTATATATATTCACTTGGAACTCTTCTCCTTAGCACCCTGAGCTCAGCCATGGACGACTATTTGACCCACCACGTCTTAGTTCGTCTGAATTGCAGCAGCGCTTTATGACTACCAATGACTGGAGATTGAGGGCCCCAGGGCCATTGACCTCTTATGATGCCGAAGGATCTGTACCTGGTCTAACTACCGTCATCATTTGCCACGATTTTCCGTTGACCACGATGAACCTTCCGCATTACTTCGCTTTAGTAAACCATGAACTTCTCCGGTCACTTTCGGAGCTTGATTCAATATCAAAATAATCGAGTATTACTACAGCATCTTAGTACAGGCGGAGCACACACAAAACCCAAAACAGTACGCAAAAAATTAGATGGATATTAAAAGAACTCCTCGTGCTTAATTGATCTAGCAAGCTGGAAGATTTAATTCACTTCTGAGGCGACGCCCCATTTTTGATACTCCAGTCTTCGACCATTTTCAGGACGCTCCTCTGTTTCCCGTCATAGCCGACATGCTTCATCCAATCTGCCAAGCTCTTGATGCGCTGCGGGTGGATACGGTCTAGAACCATCGTATCCCGTGCCTTGGTAATGCCGTCTCCCCAATAGCGCCACCACGCCCCAAAATTTTCGCGCCAACTCATGATAGAGTCATCTCGAGCCGCATTGGGGCCGAGGGCCCAGTTCACAGATGCGCCGGGGTAAGGCTCTGCAACAGATGCGTATGTTTCAAATGGGATGGACTTATGGACCGCGGGTTTGCCGGTGACTTTAGTGAAGATCGTTGCGATCTCTCCGAAACTGACATTATCCGTCATAACTTGGAGATCCATACCGGCCGACTCGGATGGGTTGTCAAAAATCCAGAGATTGTAGGCACCAACATCACAGAGTGCTATCAATGGCATCTTCATGTCGCTTGCTTTAATAGAAGTTAGATAAGCCCATCTAAGTCGAATCTTTGGGAATCCTGGATGAGGGATCGAACTCACGAGCTGGATTGGCCCACATAAATGACCCGTCCTGCTGCTCGATAGGCACAAACATCCCATCCATAAGCATATCCATATATGGCCCAGTACTGAAGAGTGTGCTCTTCATACCGCCCTGTCCTAAGCCAAGGATAAATTTGCCAACTCGTCCTTTGGAGTCCATATGGCCACAATGGTACTTTTCGTCGAAGTTGGCGGCATCCATGGCATATTCGATGTTAGCCCAGACGTAGTGCTGTACCCCTTCAGATCTCGCGATCTCATAGGCTCTAAAGCCGTAGAACAGTTCATCTTTTTCCCCTAGAGTAAACCCGTCTGTGTTGACCCAGGCACCATAGACTCCTCGGAATACATTATGTAAATCCCGTTGGTTGTCCTGCGCACCCTGGAGCAAGGACACATTAGGGAGACCAGCCAGGTGCTGCGCGCGAGTGGAGCTGGGGTTGCGGGTCAAGACCCTGAGACGGTATCGTCCACTCTCTGCCAGGGCTACTCCAAAATCAGCGCAAGCCAAAGCGGCAAATTCAATGATTTTTTAACCCTCACCTTTGACCACAGGCATGCCCTGAGCGCCAGTGCCTCCGATTACGGCAATTTCTCTCAAGTCAACCATCATGCTATTAAGCGTAGGGCTGTATTGATAAGGCAAGTCGTGTGTCGATATAAATATGGTTTATGGCGGAGTTTCTAAGCTGCTTGGGAGCAAGGGCAGCTTCCCAGATATTTATAAGTAGATATCATGAGTGCTAAAACCGAAAGAAAAAAAAAAGAAAGAAAAAGAAAAAATTTGGATGACGGGTGATCTCCAATGACAAATTTCTCAGTAGCTAGCTAACTTGTCCGACCTTTCGTGAGAGTTGAACTTGCCACCCGATTCTGGCTGTCGCTATGTAATCCGCGGATGGTTGACAAATCCTGAATAGTAACCAGCCGATTTACTCGCTACAAATGTTCGCAAGCTTGGAAGCTCTGGGGTCAACAGATTTCTTGTGGAGGTGGAGCTTATGCAAAGGCCCACAAAATAGAGTACATGTTAACCATGTCAAAGGCGTCTTCTGCATTATTGGGTTACTGGAGATTACAATCTGAGGCCGACCTTTGCCCCACTAAAACAACCTATGTTGTATCGCTTACTACAAACGGTACTTGATCCATGTATCAACCGCTCCTAATATGTCGGTGGCGACTCGCGCATTTTGGATGATTAGTGAACACAATCAGCAGGTGAACCAGTTGTTCGATTAATAACGTTGACATAACGAATCTGCAACTAACGTTTTCAACTATCGAGCCGCGCCTACAACCGAGCCACGCCCTTCCACCAAAACATCTATTTTCTAAGGCTTTTCAACCGCCAACGCCATTAAATTTGACTAATTAAATATATGAAATAATAGCTATTTATTAGGGCAATTTCGAATCGCATGTCCCACTATTCCACACCCGCTGCAGCGTTGTGGAGCCCGTCGACAAGGCACTGGAGTGGATTCCTCAGCTGCTCATGAAGCTGCGTATCCAGCTGCTGAACCCGATTTTGGCCCTCCTGTACATTAAGAAGGCGGTAATTACTTAGTTCAGCACGCTTCATTGCCTTTATTTGACGTTGCCGCCCATTTTCAGCGCGTATGGCCCTAATTTCTTGCTGTAAAAGAAGGGTAGTTTACATCGCCATTTGCGCGGCTTCTCAAGGTGTTGCATATGAGCAATAGGACTGCTAGAAAGCTGCCATTTCTTATTAAGGTTGTTCTGCAGGCTTCGAACCTTTCGATCTAACTGGCGAGTATGCTGCGGAGACTGAAAAGCAGAGGAAATCGAGCCTTCAGCTAGTGATGGTGCAGGTGTAGGTGTACGTAGTCGAAAGGTAAGCTGCGAAAGAACACGGTCTGGATTGAATAGTTTTAAGCCCTGTTCCTGCGAAACAGCTGCAGATATTTGTAAAAGTAAAGGATTTAGCGCGTGCATCTGGATAGAAAGCCTTCTTTATCAATATGATCATTACCGACTTCCATGCGCTTTGCAAGAAGCTTTCCGTACGCCTTCTTAAGCGGGCTAAAAACACCCACATCAAGCGGTTGAAGAAGCCGCGAAGCGTGGGCAGGCATGCAGAGACATATAATTGCATTCTGCTTGCAGGAATTATCGAATTTAGCAGTTAAATGGCTGCTATGACCGTCAAGAATAAGCAACTGCTTAGCACCAGTCATATAGCGCTTAGAAAACGGTTCAAAGACGCTTTTAAGCCAGAGAAGGCCTATTTCATCGGTCATCCAGCCATTCTGACTAGTAGAAATCCACCAGTCGCGAGGGAGCTTAGGTTCTTGAAACCAGGCAGCTTGTTGAAAGCTCGCTTTCAATATAATGACTGGCGGTAGATGTACACCTCTTGGCCCGATTGTTTCGATAATCGTGACCCATTCACGATTGCCTTGGATAACTCTGCGAGGTCGCTCGCTCCGCTCAGCTGCAGTAATTACTTTTGATGTAGAGCAGGGTCTCATTGCAAAGCCAGTCTCGTCGAAATTTCCGGATATCATCCTCGTGCATACCATGTTCTTGAATAGAGGCTTATACAGTCTCAAACCAAGGCTTCATAACCTTTGCATTCTCCTGCTTTGCGCGTTGATATGTCATTCGTCTCGTATATCGCGTACGTATTTCAGGATGCCGTTTAATAAAGTTATAAGGCCATTCGATTCCGGTAGCTGCGGCAGGCCATTCCACGTAGAAGTTTAGGTCGAATTGGAAATCCTCGCGTACCTGCATCTACTAATCGCTTTAAAAGCAATTCCTCTTCAAATTTGGTCAGTTTATGACTATTAGCGCGTGTTTCCGATCGTCATTTAGCGCCGTGAAGCCGGTCACGTAGGGTGCTTTCAGGAACTGCGAAAAGGGCCGCAGCGCGTGTAATTGACTTTATCTGGCCATTTTCATAGGCTGAAATAGCCACCTGAATACGCGGCTCATTAGAAAGTGGCATATTGAATAGTGGTGACGAGAAAAGACGCGTTGAATGAAGAAAGTAGATGTTTTGGTGGAAAGGGCGCGGCTCGATAGTTGAAAACGTTATATACGGCAAGCCACGGTAGTTAACTATACAACGGAATCTCGTTAGCGAGCGGCTGCACCCGAGCCGCCCAGACCTAGACCCGTTCCCGTGAGAAAAGTCTTCAGGGCCCCTATAGATTAGTCTGTTGCTTGTCTATGTAGGATTTGTTGGGGATATATCGGGACGTTGTCATTGTCTATTCTAAACCGTGGCAATTACTGCGGCGCCTCAACGTTTGTACGTAAGCCCAACTGCAGAAAGCGCTGCAACTATACTATGTAGGTATCTAGATGAGCTTCGGCTTCAAAAATCCCAATCCCGCATTAGAGCTGTTTCTGGATTTCCTGCAAACTGAAACCCTCTGTTGTGCTCGGAAATGCTCTTCCGCTTTTGCATTGCCTACAGGGAGATATTTGGATAATTTGCGGACAAGAATAAGCTGATTTTAGTGCAGTTCCTTTCGCAAAAATAACTCCATCTAGTATTTGGGCGACCTCCCCTCCCCTAAACCCACCTCGCAACCCTTAGCAGTGTATCCAACGATGCGGACGCCAACGGATTACCAAAGGCTCAGGAGATATGTACAATCTTCATGGTAGGCAGTGGCAACTTAATAGTTGAGTTCCGTGACTGCACTTTCCTTAGCGGATATATCGTTGAGTAAGACCACAGAAGGTGCCTGGATAACATTTACTTCAAGATTGCTTCCTTACCACGTCCGAGTCTCATGTGGTCACATACAAGCAAATAAGCACATAGGGATCGGCTAGGATAACAACCCGAGCTCGTTGATAACCAATCGATGATAGAAAAGCCCTTCTGATGTGGAGAATCAAATATCGTCATTGGATAGGCTATAACACTTGTCATTAAGCTATGTTCTATAAGGTTGCGGTGCTAGGCCCTCGCCGAGAGGGTAGCCAATAGGAGTCCATGGATCGGATGGGTTAATAGTATTCCAAATAGTTGGCATTGTATAACGATGAAAGCCTCAGACATCGACTTGCATTTTTGGATTTCTTTCCGTATGCACGATCCAGACACCGGGAACATAATCCTTTTCGTGACACCTGGCAGACGGAAAGTGACGGGGCCGACGCTTTCATTTTCGACGTCCATGCACATACGGGATACTCAAAGCTAGCTTGAGTAATACATTGAAAACTCATTTGCGAAGGATTCGACAGTAGCGCGAGGAAATCCGGGGGCTCTACCGAGGCACACACAAGACATTCTCAGCACTATCTACAAAGTTAAGCTTCCTAACGCCCATACCTCCGACTAATTTGGTCGGGTTGACCCGGGGGACTTACGTTCAGTTAATGTAGTTTCGTCAATGATCTTTTGGTTCCCAGACCGTTGGGAAGTGTTCAATCCAGAGAGTTGTTGATGGCGAAGGTCGCGCTCCGAGCCCGGAGTAGTCTGATGAAACATTATCTTTGCCCGGGGAAGGCCCCGAACGGGGATAATTCTGCACTTTTCCAGATATCCTTCCACATCATAACAACCAAACCAGTCACCTCGCATATCAGGGTCAACTTCTGTCGCAACCTGTATCATTCTCGGCTGGAACAAAGCATTGTCAACGACATAGCTTCTCTGCTTGTGCTGAAAATGTCTCCCTGCGCCACCAATACTAATGAAGGGGGGTATTCAGCTCCATGAGGGCTCTGTGATATCCACCGCTTAGAAACTCCTCGAAGTGCGCTCTGATATTTTGTAGCGGAAAGATCTTCAACAGAAGTCTGAATTTGTAAGTGACTTCCTCAAGCTGGTATGACAGATTCATTAGACACTGATGTCCTTATTCAACACATGCACAATAGAGTCGGCTGGCGAAACTCGCTCATTCTAGAGTATGTGTGCCAGGCCGCGGCATATTCAGGAACAACGGCATTGAGTAAAGGCGCGTCGCTTGTGTTGGTATTTCCGGTACTGCAAGATCATATTTCTGGGTTACAGCAAAGGGGCCTTGGCTGCTATCTTCCTGCTGAGCCTGTACAACAAGCTCTTGGATATCAGGAAGAGGGACATTGGAGACATCATATATATTATGAGTACTAGATATATCCTGTTCTAGTGTATCAACAACACCTGCGTTCTCCCTTGTATCTAATATATTTCTCTCAGTGTTGAGGGGGTCAGCGCCGTCTCCTATTATAGAAACAGCCTGATTTGTAAGTAATAAAGATTACACTATGGTTTGGTAGAGCCTCCGCACGATATCTGGACATGTTGACAGCACACCAGATTTCATCAGATTATTAGTGAAGGATAGAAATGTCACATTTATTTATTCAATAAGCCTTTCCAGTTCATGAACCCAATTCTTCAGTACCTGTAGCTTGGCCTCCTTTCGTGAACGATATGCATGCTGTGCTAACCTGACCTGGGTCCTCTGTCTCTTTGCTTCCTAATTAGCATTCCTGGATTGTTTGGACACCTGCAAAAACCCTACATTTGGGGATATATCTTGCCTGATCTGGCTTTTCATACAACCCCTTTTCCTCCGCTCAGTATAACCCTCAGCAGCGGAAGGGATTGTCAGATCCGCCATCTTTGACAAGCAAGGATGTGCAGATGAAGGTACTGTCCACCACTCTTGCCCTGGCTTGTCTGGACTAATCAAGCGGTCTCACCTGGCAAAGAGCAGGTCGCTTAGCGAAGGCCCTTTGTAACGGATGAACGCCCCTTCTGCCTAAAGCACTCGGAGAGGTTCACCAAGTATGCGTAGGGAAGATAGCGGGGGAAAGATGAATGAGACCGTTTATTTCACAGTCCTTTGTGTTATTGTATGATATCTTGATTCTTCCTCGAATGGCTTGCCACCGGTTGACCGCTGACGGCCTTGCAATGGCGAAACCAGGTGTGAACCCGGGTTGAAATCTGGGTGACTATCCCGTGGACCAGCCAGTGGATAATGGGCACGGTCCAGTAGTGACATCATTTGTTACTGCTCGGTTTGATTACTATTCACGCCCGAATCCAAAGGGGCCTGGTCCGAATTTCAGATCACGGTTCAACGAAGATTACGACATAAAATTAGTATTGGTCGCTATTCCGCTCTTGCCTCGAACCCTCAAATATACCGAGGAACAGTAGCCGGCATTTGAGATTTCTAACTAACCTTTTGATCTCTGAACTGAAAACCCAGTGACATGTCGAGTTATCAGCTAGATCAGTAATCGTTGTTACATGTCAACTGGATGAATGCACACATTTAATACTTTGCCTTCCTATTGAAGATATTTTCATTCTGACATCTGAAGGAAGCGTCATTTGCTGGTGAACAATCAATCCTATACAATATCAATTACCAGGACTCAGAGCAATGTTTGCGGGAAAACATGTTGAGTATCCCAAGTATGGCCTTCCAAGAATGGCGACGATCGATCTTTGGATATACCCTGTGCGCATATTTCAGGTTATTGTTGCTCTTGTCGTCTTCGGTCTATGTCCTTATGGTATGTCACTACTGGTACCCCCTTCTGGCTGGTTCTGACCTCGGAGGCTCGGTCAGTCATGCTTACTTTACGTTTCGACTACATCATCATCCTCATATTCTCCAATGCAATATGGAGCGCCTTCCTGGCGACACCGGTTCTTGCGCTAAACCTGGAACTACCCAGTCGGGTTGTACCTCGCATTACCATATTGGCAATAGAGTGGACTACAATGATACTGTGGTTTGTCTGCTTTCTTACACTAGCTGCAATATCACCTCCAAATCACTGTGATATACGCAGTTGCACTGCACCGCGAGTGATCCTTTTTCTCGGGGCAATCGAATGGTAGGTATTCTATGTTGGCTTTTAAAAAGCCGGAAACTGCTCGGCCCTACAGGCCACCTGCAGAATTAATATTACAACTGCTGATTCTCCAGTTGTTAGGGTCCTATTCTTGGCTACAACGGTACATCGTGTGGCAGTTTCCCTATGGATTTGTCATGGGCCTGAGTGGCGCTTTTCTTCCCACGGGATGGGTAGCCAATCACCATAATCTAACAAGAGTTCGGAGATATTTTATTTTTCTCCCAATCTTCCCTATAAATGCCCTCGTTTGCTACATCATTTACAGCCCCAAGGCAAATTGATCGACTTAGATTCTCTACCGGGAGAGACGTAGATCCTCTTTTTTTTTTTACCACGATATGGCAGCTAGAAGATTCCTTACAGTAAGGAGACGACGAACGCGTATCTCGTTGCAAGCTGCTTGTATACTGCGTAGCCAATGTCGGGCATGCTGCCATAAGCTATACATTCAGCTGTAGTATAATGTGCGTGATGGCTGAGGATCTCTGATTGACGGGATTCTCAATATCTTGTTGCCCATGTCATATATGCCGTTTTGGGACACAGGGAACACCTTCTGAATTAGCCCTGTTTTTCTATTCTATTTCACCATAGTTTCTCAACATACTTATAAAAGGTGAAATCATGTCCCGAGTTCTTCAGATCTTCATCCCGCTTTCATGGACGTGGAAGTACTAGCAGTAACCCTTATCAGGTAATACCCTGGATATGCCCGTTGGTGCTTGAGCCCAAATTTCGGACATACACCCATGATATGGAGACGACGAATGTGAAGTTGTGTCGGACTCTAAAATCTAAGGTGGTACAGTTTTGTGCATTATTAAACAACTGCAAGCATCTTTAAATGTATATATGAGCCCTTTCACCTCTAGCTCAATAGGTTATATTATATCTGTTTAAGAGCTGAGTCGCCTCCAACACTCGCGCCTTTAATGAGACAAGAACGTAACCTTTGGTTCATGATTACTATACTGCAGAATTACTAAACCCCAGATTAAGTCCCCAATCAGTCATATCTTGTGAATTGCCTTTGTAGAGCGTATCTTATCTGGATATCATACAATACATGCAGTAGTGATGCAACTCGATTCATTGTACCATCCCTTTACTGTCAAGGTGTCAAGTATAGTAGATAGGACCCATGTCTGACTCATACCGTGCTTTCCTGATGGTAAACTCCGCCAGCCAACTTAGTTCTGCTATAAAGTCTGCTATAACCTTACTGTTTGAAGCCTTCTTTTCTAATATATTTGATAAGAGAAGCGTTCTATAAGACCTACAGCCTCCTTCAGAAGTCTTGCATCATCTCTTGAGAATGAATGGAGTGGGTCTTGAAGGATATTGCAGAATACAGTAAGCAGTGCCACTATAGCATAAAAGACCAGAACCCTAAATATAGTTGGTTCTGGTAAGCAACAGGTCTAGTTAAGTTAAATTCTATATAAAGAGAAAACTTTTAACCATACCAGAAAGCCTAGCTGACCAGTATACATTCTGCCTGTTTTAGGTAAGCAAGAGTCAATTGACTAATCTCAATAGAAAGAGCCAGACTTGAGCTTAATCCATCTTCCATTCTATCCTGTTTTCCCTCTTGGCATCCCGTTTCCCATCCCATCCCAAACATAGGGCTAGAACGGGAATCCCATCCCGTTTAACTGCACAAAACGGGATTCCCAATCCCAATTTTAAAATGGGATGGGATTCCTATCCGGATTAATCATAAAAACGGGATTCCATATTTGTCTTGGCATTATTTTGGGATTTTGGGATGGAAAATGGGAATCCCGTCCCATCCCAAAATCCCAAAATCCCATCCCATCCCGAAATCCCTGGGATTATCCCGTCCCAACGGTCAGCCTATATACGACATCTTCGGCTTTTACGCGCAGGTCCTCCAAGGCGGCGACCTGCTTGCCCAGGCGACCAACGCTCGGATCTACATGCCCGATTTCTCAAACGCGAGGTCGCAGATCGTTCGTGAGTGCCGCCTGATACGGAGGAGAAGATGAAGGCTTCCAGCACCGTTATTCAGGGTCCAGCATCCCGCGTGCTGTATGCAGGACTTCAGTGGTTCTAGAGGATGCTGCGGAGAAAAGCAGCGGTAGAATTATTAAACGGGCCACACTGGGTTTCTGTTGGAGTTATAAGTGCGTTGACGTCTCTTGGGTTTGCATTAGTTCTGTGTCGGGCAACAAAACTAAGTATATGCCACGATAGGTTGTTGCAAGCCAGTCCGGCGCCAATACACCATTAGTTGCTGCAGCAGAAGCACGTACATGACGATGCAACTACCATCACGGTTCCTTTCTGAACCCTTCCATTGAAGGATGAGGACCAGGAGGTGTTCGTGTGTTTCGAGACCGAACTTCAAGTCGACAATCACGTGGAGATTTCAACGGACATGGCTCACGGGGTGGGTCTGCGCGGTGAGTTGAGATCTGTCTGGATATAGTCAACACATTCTGCATGCTGAGATTTGATTACATGGCCGATTTCAAGGATACGCACTACAAAGCAAAGTTTGAGAGGGGCTGCAGCGTGGACAGCTCCTTCTTGAAGAAATACTTGTCACAGGATGAGTAACTCTAGGAAAGCCTTCAGAATTTTGTTGGATTATGCAGGGTCGTTTGTGTATGTCCAGAAATATACTGTCTTACTCTCTAAGAGAATTCGTCTTAATGATGTTTACTTCCCCAGGACTGCCTTCCTTTTCGAGGCTACGCGCTCTCAGGACATGCAGCTCAAGAGTCCGAAGGATGGCAATTTTCAAGAGTAAAGACAGGACAAAGAAGCTATATACTCTAGGCGGATGTAGGAACTTACTAGACATCCGACGCCCGACTCACAGAGGCCCGAGCCTTTTGGAGAATAGCCTTCTGGATCTGCTGGTTGTCCAGACCGACCATCCTTTTGACTAGGCCGTCGAATATCTTTCTCCATCCCACGGCGTTAAGGAGCCAAACCACCCACGCATTAGTGCCTTTCCACATATATTCTCCTTTTCCGAGCTCGGGAGACTGGGTCAGTATCTGATCGACCACCTGTCTAGCGAAGATCTCCGGTGACATGCTGTTGTCGGCATGGTTTCGACTTCTCTCCTTGGTCCGCTCTAAAACATCACTGTAGAGACTCCCGGGTACAAAGGAGACGTTATCAGGAGACATGAGCTTCGTGGAAACCTCACCCATGAATAACGTCACAACTTTAATGCCCAGGGGTTCCAGTTCAATCCGGAGAGTGTCACTGTACGTGGCCACGGCTGCTTTCGATGCGTTGTATGCAGATGAAAATACAAAAGGCAGACGGGCGAGTACCGATGCTGTGTTGATGATCACCGGTGGTGTGTATTTGGTTCCATTGCAGGATAGCAGAAGAGGGGTGAATGCTTTAACCATGTCGAACAAACCGAACACGTTGGTATCGAACATATTGCGGATGCAAGTGGCATCTGCTTCGATTGCCGGAGCTTCATACACTAGGTGACAAAGTTTCGGTGAGCAGCTGTTAATGATTACATTAGGCTAGCAGCCAGACAGTGGCCGCACCGAAGAGAAGGTGGTATGTACTTATTCCAGCGTTATTGAACAACATGTCTAATTTTCCGCCCGTCCTATGCACTATCTCATCCTTCAAGGAATCGATGCTCTCTGCCTTCGTAACATCAAGTTCAAAGGTCTCGATTCCCTTCTCTTCCAGAGTAGAGAGAGATTTGGTGGATCGCGCTGTTGCGAAAACACGCCATCCGCGGGATGCCAATTCTAGGGCAATGTGATATCCAGCGCCGCCAGACGAGCATCTACTCCGGACGGAGTCGTTAGTACAAGAGTCTCAAACATGTTCGGTCCTGATTTCCGTTGGACCCACCCCGTGATGAGGACTGAGCGTTTTGCCATTGCGTATGAGACCTTTATTGTTAAACGATACGGGTCAGCCTCAGGTGAAGTATTGTATCTGAAAGTAAATTGTTTCTCGGCTGAGTGCAGAGAATAAGTGCAAAGAGCTATCTGTGGATGTGAATAGGGTAGCTGAAGGTCGCCTTTATATGGTCTCGCAACTCTCGCCACCCTGAGTATGCGCTTGCATTCAGGCACAAACCTTATCGAGCAAAAGGCGGATTGCTCACTAATCACGGCTGAGACTAACCTAGATCCTACCCAGGAGGCAGAGTATTGTTTATCCGTGAGGATAGATGGTCTGACTTGAGAAGCAGCCACAAAAATTGAATTGGTACTGGACACATAAATCTGTCACCCTAAGGATTCAGGGGCGTAACCTCTCAATTTCTTACTCCTAGCCTTCCTGATACATTAGGCAATTGCGGGCTTTCTTTTGTAGCAGTGCGCGGATTCTATACTCCGGCCGAGCTGAATTTATACGAATACTCCGTATGAAAGAGTATTGTCTACTTGACCTTGTCTAAGTCCGCGACAATGATCCGGAACACAGACAGGAGCTATATCCTGACCGCAAGTCGGTTTGATTGAGTTACGCAATGCCCAGGTTGAACTGAACGACGAGTAAATACGCTCGGCAGTTCAATCTACGCAGCCAGTGACTCCTAGCCGCCACTGAAACATACAGCAAAAGCATTGGCGTGGAATATCCAAACTAAATTCAAGACTCGCAAATCTGTAAGAAAATTTCAACGACGTTTGTATACCTGCTCGTTGACGTCTCACTCAACCAAGGGGACTTCTCCCGACAAATGCGCCCCAGCGCACCCCCAACCCAAAACCATAGGATTGAAACGATAAGGGTACTTCGCAACCATAGAAGAAAATACATCGGTCACAGTTTGTGGCTTTTTCTCCAGCACATCTATAAAATCTCTGATATACTGCTTCGTCGATTCCAGGTGCCAAACACCGTCCATTTCATCTGCTTTCCGATGCCCCGGGACCACGTAGATTGGGTCCAGGGCCTCGACTTTCTCAATGGCTCGGATCCATTCTTGCCGCTTCTCCGGGGTGTTTGCCTCTAAAAGCATTTGATGCACATCTCCATACACAACGTCACCGCAGACAGCGAGCCTCAGGTCGGGAACCCACAGGATCGTGGAGTCGAAGGTATCGGAGTGCCCGCATTCAACTGCCTCGAAAGTCCACCGATTTCCCAGGACAAACTTGTTGTCTTTTGGAAGCGCTTTCGGCGGCTGCTGAGGAGTATAGAGCTGACCTCCAGGGAAAAATGCAACCCACGTCGACGAAAAGTAGGGCTCCGATATCTGCTGTTCGATATGCCGCACAGTGCCTTCAGTCGCGACTGCCTGTGCCTCAGGAAAATGCTGCAGCAACAGGGGCAGACCTAGGAAGTGATCCGCATGGCCATGCGTGATGTAAATGAAGGAAAGCTTGCGCCCCGGCGCGGTCGCCTCAATCCACTCGATCAATTCCTTGTTTTGATCGATGGTGATTCCAGTATCGACGAGGACAGCCTCGCGTTCAGAGTATATCAAGGTGCAAGTTTCTGGGGACCATGTTGTGTCCTGTCGATGAGACACATGATCAACACAAGGAACCGGGGGCACTGTATAGACAGATACTCGCAACCCAGGCATCTTCAAATATAGGGTTGTTGCAGGACAGGCAGGACAGGCATGAATTTATTTGCAAAGGCCTTCGGAAAAGATTAATGTTGTATCTTTATACCTTTTCCGTGTTGCTACGCCCCGAGAACATCGATAGAACCGGAATCGGACCTGATCACTCATCAAAAGAACCCCATTTATAAGCAATTATCAGGAGTCACTGATAGGAACCGCGGGGTAATTCTAGGTTTGCTCTCTGATGCTACCCGCACAGACTTACCGGGCACGCGTAACCGGTACTCTCACGGAGAGTAGGTCTGGGTTGGGGGTGTGGATTACTGATCATCGGCTGCCCAAAAGTCCCTTCGCTCGTCCTCGTGACATGTTGCGGGGGGTATCTTCTCCGGCATGGCGTCTATCATGTCAGTTTCCAGTTAAACATTGGTTGCGCTCGGCACTAGCGATTCCCAACCGAAAATATTGCATTTTCGCTCGGTATGGAATACTATCGTCTGGAGACTTCAGCGCCAAATATCCCAAAACGTGCAGTATAATACCTGGTGAAGTTAACTATGGAACACCTTGGTTTGGCAAACGAGGAGGAGCAGCTATCGTTTCCCTCAAGGATTGTATAGACTCGTATCTGCCTTACAATAGATCATATATAGAGGACGAATACTGGGCCGATCTCTGAGGGAACTCAGCCCTGCGGCCCTGCGAAGGTCTCGGCCGCTGTACTCGCCATTCCGGCAGCTGATTTCTGATCAATTAGATTCCAATGATACCTAGATGCTGTTCAACCGCCGGTGATATTTACTCGTAATTGCTTGATGGCGTGGCCTGTTTCCCAAAGCAAACACCGGTCTTCTGCCATGCATATAAGCGCGCTATTCCCGAGTTCGGGTTTCCAGCGTGGATGCACGTCACGGCGACGCATACTGTAATTCCTACACGACCATGGCCCCTCGGACCCAGAAGGCTCTCATTGTTACAGAGATTGGGAAGCCTCTCACCCTAACTACCGACTGGCCGGTCCCTCATCCGGGAGCAAAGCAAGGGCAAATCTGGGTTATTGTTGCCGTTTCGACTCCTCACGACCAGAAAACATCAGAAAGCTCACGATAAGAGTTTATTCATTGCCGAGAACCTATGCGGTCCTCGGAAACGACATGGTAGGAGAAATAGTGGCTGTTGGCTCTGGCGTGACAGGCTTCTCTCTCGGCGAAAAGGTGCTTGGACAGACCAGTTTCTTGCCGGGGTGCACTCAGAATGGATTCCAAGAGTATGCTGTTCTTGACATAACAGCAGCAAACCTCTGACAATACATCCGAATCTAGTAGTACCATCGCCGAGTTTCTTCGTAAGCGCTTTCTGTCGGTGAAAGCTATTTGTTCTATTGTGCTATTAAAAAAAAAATAGAGGCGCAGAAATCACATTTGCTTGTAATCTAACTCAATTCTGCAATATCCTATGTCGCAGGAACGAATGTCGATACTAACTGATGGAGAAACCAGAGTGAAGGCGGAAAGACTGGAACGAATTAATGTAGTCTTACCATCCTCCTACTTCAAAAGATGATGTTTGAGAAACTCGACCTGCACCGGAGCATTTTTGTCGAACAGAGGCCCGTCATATGGCTCAAAATGCCCTCCTGGGATTACGTGCAACTGCTTCGGCTCTTTCGCCCGTGCGAACGCGCCAAGCGCAAGGTCCGAAGGAGTAACGACGTCGTTGTTCATCACGACCATCAACAATGGAGTGGGTGAGATGCGATCGATAAAGGCTGAAGGTTCGTATGCGCGAAATGCCTCGAGGCTGTTTTAGGGTCAGATCTAGTGTCCACACACGGTTTGTTCAGAAAACAACAGGAACAGATACCTCCTAAGAGTCACATCGTTTTTCCATCCTAGCGGGATTGCTGGTCCGTACCCGGCATAGCTATCCTCCGAAGGAAGTACACAAAATGCGTGAGGATCCTTGTCCACAACGGGCACACGAGCCGGCTCGGCCCCTCTGGCGCGGGCATGCCGATCTATAAGTCAGACAGGAAGTTCGTCAGAAAAAGAGACACTCTCTGGTAGATATTGTTTCCTTTGGTTAGAACAGGATAAAGCTGACCATCTTCAAATAATTTATTCAGCCTGGGGATCAAGTCGGCTCTGTTTAAGCGATGGAAGTTATCCCATCCACTGGTCAAAGGCCTTCCCGTATGGCGAAAGTTAGGAGCATGACCATATAACCTGTGACATAAGGCCAAAGTGAACGTACACCTGACTGATTACAGCTTTAACTCGACGGTCAACGGCACCAACAGTGAGAACGTGGCCTCCGCTGTACGAACTGCCCCAGATAGCAATCTTAGCCGCATCAATCTCTGGCAGAGATTGTGCGAACGTAATAGCGTCAGAATAATCACTGATTTGCAACGAAGGGATGATTTCGCGCCGTGGTTCGCCGTCACTAGCACCGATACAACGATTGTCATAGGCGAGGACGGCGACGGGCAAGTTGGACGTGAAATATTCCGCGAACTTGCTTAGCCCCATTTCTTTATGGGCTGCGAAGCCATGCGCCATGACCAGACACGGCAACGTTCCACTGAAGGAGCTTGGGGTGAAGAACCAACCTCGAAGAGTGAGGCGGTCTGAGGTTTTGAATTCGACATCTCGACGAGGCATTGTGAACACTTTCAGTCGATGCGGCTTTTGCGTCGTCTTTGTCTGCAAATAAAAAATGTAGACGTGTGAGGAGGAAAAGGACTAAGGAGGGGGTAGGGGGTTGTCGTTTTATAGGGTTCACAAACATTGCAGGAATGAAGTCACAGTGGACATGGCACAGCGATCGAGGGCCAACGGAACATTCTACGTGAATCAGCACAGGGCAATCAGAAACCCAGGCGGGAGTGCTCCCCACTCTGATGGGTTACTAAGTACTCTCCTTGTGTCAGGCGCCTATCTCACGGGGTTATTAAATGCGATTACTGATCTATCCGACCAACCCGTCTCTCAGCAAACTATGCTCCTGGGATACAGTAATAGGTAGTTTTATACGTATCGTTGGTTAGGTGTCAGTGAATCCGAGATCGTTCAGTCAACTGCAGCTCCATGTACCCGTAGCATAGCATCTATTCCGGTCTCCTTTTCTGAAATTCACCCTGTGAAGCAGTTGGACACGCCTCTAACCATGTTCACTGCAAAATTTTGACGTGACTATATCTACCGGAGCCGTTTGGTCTCCGGAAAGCCTGTGTGCTAGTATGATCGGAGTGTTTAGTTATTGTCATCTGTTCGCGGGACAATGTTCGGGTCTTCCGGAGAAGAATTGTTGAGTAACTGCGGCCGAGCCCACCTGAAGAGGTGCGGGGTGAGGAGCACTTCCGAAAGGACTGTGCTTCAATGCATTTATGATGCTTAAAAGGCATGAAGCGGCAGACAAACGGGTCTGTTGGGCATTGGATATCCCTTCTTACTCTGCAGCATCATACGCCTGAGAAGCCACTGCGTCTCCTTCTGACTTATTGCCCGCTACTCAGCATGCCCCTTTGGCTCATTTTCCACCCTGACGGCACTTTTGAGGACGCTTCTTCCAAGAAGGCCATGACTAAAGATATAACGAAAATATACACCGGAATCGGACTTCCTTCTTTCTATGTCGTCGTCAACTTTATAAAGCTCTCCCCTGAAGATGTCTGGGTAGGCGCTGAAAGGAGAATGGAGAAACCGTTTATTCGAATTGTTGCCGAACACATTGCCGTTCGGCTCGATGATGAAGACGACGTCTACAAGAAAACGTGCGACGCAATTGAGAATGCCCTGAAGCCTCATATTGCTGATAGAGGTTATGACTGGGAATTCCATGTCGATGAGACTGAAAGGAGACTCTGGCGGGTCAATGGAATGATTCCTCCTCCGTTTGGCAGTGATGCGGAGAAGGTGTGGGCGAAGGAAAACAAGCCGGTCATTTGGGAAGGCGCTTTCTAGGGGGATTCTCCTATGATGTGGAATTTCTAGTGCCGAAACGAGATTGTCCCAATGGATCCCTTGTCGAGATCCCTCTCTCATTGTCGCGATTTGAAGAGTCTGAATGGTCTTTTCCCTTCTTTGCGGCTGGATGTATGTTACTTTCCTCTCACGATGCGTGTCGCAGGCTGAGTGATCCTGTTTACAATGACAATGACCGAGCAGTCTACCTGAGCACTTCCAACACCTGCGTCACTCAAGTCTCTGGACCTAATATATAGAGTAATATGCTAAACATCGTGCGGCAGAAACCCCACAGCATGAGTTGTGCAAGGCCTACTGTATTTTCCCAGTCATGTAGTGCTCATATGCTACTTGAAGTTGGCACAGTTGTAGGTCCCTTGATGCGGAATGGAGCGCGCGCCTTTAGAGATTAGCTGCAAATACGGACTGTCTATATTAGAGCCATGGGCAGTTGTCTTTGGGCTACACAAGCTCCCTAGGGTTCTTGTGGTCCCTAACACACCCTTTCTCTACAGAGTACTCCTGTTTACCCTCTTTTAGTGAAGGCGTGATTGAATCGTGGGTTTTGTCTAACGGCTCTGAATGTCATCATGATACGTAGATATCTATTACAGACCACACAGCATGACCTTGCCAGGTCGGCAAGGAAACTGCGGCGGGCCTGAGGGACCAACAGAATTATAGGCTTGTCAGTGTGCTATCACCAGGCGCACGGCTAGAGCTATACCTCTAGCATACGTGAAGAACTCAATCACTGCCGAAGGATGATATGGCTCTACCTCACTCAATCCAATGAAAAACAACGTGACGTCAACAGTCACGGTTCGGCCAGGATGGGAGAGAGCCATCGGACGCAGATTTGAGGCATGAACAGAATGAGGGTAAGACAATACGGACAAAGCGATTCGACAGGGAATGGAAAGAGCAGGTCTCTGTTATAAGCATGTCGTTAATTCCAAGTTAGGGCATTTAGACACATTAGCTTGAGTGTCATAGCAGCTGTTGGGGGTCGGGGGTTGGGGCCAACGTCTTCCCTCCCCCATCTAAACCCTACGTAGCGCATCTCCCGGTGGGAAATCTTCGGAGAGTAAGCAGGGTCTGCACTTCATGACGGACCATAATGTTGGCGAGCAATATAAGTAGCTACAGGCAAAGCCAGTGCATAGTGTATTAAGACAGAAGTGGTAAAGGATTCGACTTCAAGCGCATAAGGACACCAGTAGCAGTGCACCGCCCTTCTCGTCACGGCGGACCACACGAGTCAGCACCAGAGTGCCGGTGGACGGCCAGAATAAGGGGCAGTCCATACGCCAGCATTTATCACGCGACAGGGAAGCAGGAAGTGAAGTGAAGAAGTGTGGTCGCACGCCACCGTGGAAGACTTCACAGCGGAAACAATACCGACGGGTGGGTGGGGCGAAAAGAATGGCGGGGCGGCAGGCTTGATCTGGGTCGGCTCGGTCCGAGAGTCGAAACCGGCATTCAACGAAACAATCAAGTTCTCCGACTTTCGTACCAGATATTAAGGGTCCTCGGAGTGAAAATTCTTAAGGTTCAGACTGAGCTCGGTACCGAGATTTACATTCTTAAGAGGAGCTCACCTTCATTCAAGCATGTCTAGGTGTTCAAGGTCTGAGTGATTGGCCCTCTTTGAGCCACTAAAATGTATTCTAGATCACAGCCCCACTGTCGGCGCCCCTCATTTATTATCCTCGCCAGAGAAACTTCGAATTCATACAGCTTCCACCACTATTGCAACCCAGCCTGTCGACAAAAAAAAAGGGCCACATACTATCCTTAATCTTCTTCCTAGATGGATGGTCTCTCACCTGCTGCAAGCGTTATCGCGGTCATACAATTCTCGGCGAGTATTGTGAATATTTGTGGGAGTTATATTTGGGACGTGAAGAATGCTAGGGAGGACATTGTTGCCTTACAAGGGGCGGTTGCGGGTCTCGAAGGGGTTCTTCAGCAACTCAAAGAACTCCTTCAAGGTCCCACTGGCGCGAGGCTATCCACCTCTCATACCCTAGCCCGCGATATCAGCAAATGCCTTTTTGTCGTCAGTGACTTAAAAGGGAAAATAGATCCCGGGTCGGGGAAAAAATTTATGAGAAAAGTGGGATTTCGAGCCTTGAAGTGGCCTTTGAAACGTTCAGAGGTGGAGGGACTCACAAAGGATATCGAGAAGTACAAGTCATCGTTCACCTTGTCCTTGCAGGTAGATCAGACGTATGTCTTCTGAATGTGTTCGCCGCGCTCGGATGACTTATTTCTTCCCAGGGCACTCATCACCGGCATAGCTCAGACCAATGACGTTATCGACCGAAATCTTGATATAGGAAAGTTACCAGTAGCGCATGGGGCTGAGTTCGGGTCATACATGGATCAACATGAAGACGAATGTCTAGAAGGGACCCGAGCACAGCTCTGGCAACAGATTGCGGAATGGTCAGTGTCGCCGCAAGGAAAATGCATATTCTGGTTAAAGGGAATGGCCGGTACTGGCAAATCGACTGTTTCTCGAACTGTGGCAAAATCCTTCGAAGAAGCCAATCTGCTGGGAACAAGTTTCTTTTTTAAAAGAGGTGAAGGGGACCGAGGGAATGCCATTAAGATGTTTCCGACAATCACAAGACAATTGACGGTCAACCTTCCTCAACTGTTACCTGGAGTCCGGAAAGCAATCAATGACAACCCTGACATTGGAACGAAGTCGCTGAGAGAGCAATTTAACAAGCTACTGCTTCAACCACTACTGAGCTTAAAACCATCTGCTCACCAGGTTCCAACCAGAGTGATTGTGATTGATGCATTAGATGAATGCGAACAAGACAATGATATACGAACGATACTTCTATTACTTCCACAGCTAGGGATGGCGAGCAACGTGCATCTACGTATTTTCTTGACCAGTAGGCCTGAGCTGTCCATTCGTCTCGGATTCTTGGAGATTGCAGACCTTAATTATCAGGATCTCGCTCTCCACGAAATTCCCGCAGAAGTTACCGAACACGACATATTTTTGTTCATAAACCACCGACTTTTGAATATTAAGAGAGACCGGTCACTGCCTGTTGACTGGCCTGAAGACACTGATATCCAAACTATTGTGATGCTATCCACTCCATTGTTCATTTTCGCCGCTACTATGTGCCGTACAGGATGCAAAGCGGTTTGTCCTTAGAAACGGACAGATTGCTGATGACGTGCCCCTCCAAATTTATTGCTCAGGACTTGTGTTTGCACCGAGGCAGTCAATAGTCAAGGGTAAACTTGAAAGAGAGCTTCCCGATTGGCTATGTAGGTTGCCAGAAGTCGAAGAAGCCTGGAGCGCAGAGTTGCAGACTTTCGAGAGCCATTCAGATCCTGTTCAATCAGTCTCGTTCACGCGTGACGGTCGGCTTATGGCGTCCGGCCCCAGTGATAACACAGTCAGGCTCTGGGACCCCGTCACGGGCACCTTACAGCACACTCTTGACGGCCATTCGGGTTGGGTCTGGTCGGTGACATTCTCGCTGGATGGCCGACTGTTAGCGTCCGCCTCCTTTGATCAGATAGTGAAGCTCTGGAATCCTGCCACGGGCGCCTTGCAGCACACTCTCATGGGCCATTCTAGTTCGGTATGGTCAGTGGCATTCTCGCCCGACAGCCATCTGCTGGCGTCCGGCTCCAGTGATAATACAATCAAACTCTAGGATCCCGCCACAGGCACCCCGCAACGCACTTTAGAGGGCCATACCGATTGGGTTCTGTCAGTGGCATTCTCCCCAGATGGCCGGCTGCTGGCGTCCGGCTCCAGTGATCAGACTGTCAAGCTCTGGGTTTCTACTATGGGCGCCTTGCAGAACACGCTCAAAGGCCATTCAGGTTCGGTTCGATCAGTTGCATTCTCGCTCAACAACCAGCTGCTAGCATCCGGCTCCAGTGATAACACAGTCAAGCTCTGGGATTTTGCCACAGGCACCTTGCTGCACACTCACGAGGGCCATGTAGATTGGGTTTTGTCAGTGGCGTTCTCACCCAATAGCGGGCTGCTGGCGTCCGGCTCCAGTGATAACACAGTTAAGCTCTGGGATCCTGCCAAAGGCACCTTGCTGCACACGCTCAAAGGGCATTCGGGTTATATTTGGTCGGTCGCATTCTCGCCTAGCGGCCGACTGCTGGCGTCCGGCTCCAGTGATAACACAGTCAAGCTCTGGGACCCCACCATGAACGACTTGCAGCACATTCTTAAGGACCATTCAGGCCCAGTTCGATCAGTCTCGTTCACGCGCGACGGTCAGCTTATGGCGTCCAGTTCCAGTGATAACACAGTCAAGCTCTGGGATTTTGCCACAGGCACCTTGCTGCACACTCTCGAGGGCCATTCAGGTTCGGTGCGATCAGCCGCATTTTCCTATAATGGAGGGCTACTGGCGTCCGGCTCTGATGACCAGATAGTGAAGCTCTGGAATCCTGCCACGGGCGCCTTGCAGAACTCTCTCAAGGGCCACTGGGGTTCAGTTCGATCAGTGGCGTTCTCGCCCAACGACCAGCTGCTGGCGTCCGGCTCCAGTGATAACACTATCAAGCTCTGGAATCCCGCCACGGGCGTCTTGCAGCACACTCTGGAGGGCCATACAGGTTCGGTTCTGTCAGTGATGTTCTCGCCTGATGGTCGGCTACTGGCGTCCGGCTCATCGGTGGCATTCTCGCCCTACGGCCAGTTGCTGGAGCCCGGCTCCACTTATACTACAGTCAAGCTCTGGGATCCCGCCACAGGAACCCTACAGCACACTCTCGAGGGCCATTCAGGTTCGGTTCAGTCAGTGGCATTCTCGTTCGACGGCCGGCTGCTGGCGTCCAGCTCCAGTGATGAGACGGTCAAATTCTGGGATGCCGCTACGGGCGCCCTGCGGCAGACCTTAAATGTCAAAGAAGTAATAACTAGCCTGGAATTTTCCAAAGATGGTTCACACTTAAACACCAATCTAGGATCCCTCACAATTCGATCCTGGTGTGACAAACATACGTGCGATACACCTAATACCGACGCCAACATATTTCTACTCGAGGGTCAGTGGGTAACGCTTGGGGGCGAAAAGGTACTACGGCTTCCTCCCGAGCATCGGCCCCATTGTTCGGCAGTCAAAGACAATACTCTTATCTTGGGACATGCATCTGGACGGATTTCATTCATCGGCTTCATGGGTTAGGTAGAGGTTAGAGAAATACTAGTGTAGTATATTCGCCAAGAGCATCGATGACCATAAGAGGTGGTCTATAACAGCGAGTCCCCGAGGATGCTGTGAGGCACTTGTCGTGGTGAGGATTGGTCGTCTAGAAAGCCTGTAGGCAGGCTGGTTTTATGATGTTCCAAATTTCTCTGAGACCGGAAAACGCAATTAGTGTGTATTGCCGTAGCATGGCTTCTTCAAGACCTACTAGTGTTTGGGGGGGAGGAAACTGTGCAGTGATAGGGCCATAATTTTGCACTACTTGCGGAGTTTGAACCACCAATAGATGGATGTAGGAACCATGGCCATGGTGAGATACAGAGATAGTTTTGTACAGTGGACGAAGTAAAGGACACGACGAAGTGAAGGCCGACCGCCTAGCCCTTTCTCAGGTGACCCTTCATCCTAAGCAACCGTATATCAGGGGAGGGTTCAAAATAACAGTCTTGCTGGTCGATAGCCTCTTCAGCCTGGGATGAGTGTAATTAAAATTCGCCATCGTATATCAGGTCCTGAATAAGCTCATGGTTTGAGAGGCTAGATAATCTCTCGACTCATTATCCAGTGCATCTTTCGCTCCTCGTATTTCTTCTTCCAAATCTCCCATATTCCGATGCACTAATATAGGTAGAAGTAACAGTTCCAACCAAAAACTAAAAGAATTATAAAATACACAATTGGTTGATTCAACTTCAGTTCACCTTAAAACAGCTTGATTATTTACCAACAAAGCACCCTTGAATGGCTTCTACTACCCAGGAAAAGAAACCATGGAAGCAAAGAAACACTGTCACCAAGCTTGCCCCCTCCTCTCTTTCCCCTAGATCAAAGAACCAGAATACGCCTTCAGTTATTGGCTCTGAAAGATTCCTCCAGCGCCTCCTTTACTTTCTGTGTCTCCTCATTCTTGGGATCGATCACGCATTTGCCAGAATCATGTGGCTGTTCTTCTGCGCCGACTTCTTTACCTCCGCATCATCAGCATCTTTATTGGCTTAGAGGACAAGCTCATAGTGGTTGTTGTTTATCTTGGCCCCTTTATCAATCCGGAAGTTCGGAGTTTGGTCCAGGCTCCGAGAAGGGTAGAGTCGTTGTCCCCTTGTTACATTCTCAGCCTTTTTGTAGACTTTGGCCCACGGGATTGAGTCAACAAATTTTCGGAGGGTCTTTATAGAGACTGACATCTATCTAGCATAAGCTTCTGAAAAGGCAGCAGAATATTCCAAACTATTCTTACCTTGAGTACTAGGGGCAGATAGCTCACGTCCAGGGTCTCAGCTTTCTTGTGAAAATGTGTCTATTCGTGGTGTCTCAAAGGAGGATCTAACTGCCTACTTATCAGTCAGTGTCTAAGTGAGGATCTACGCTGGTTCCTTAGCTACAGTTTGATAAATGCCTGGTGGTACTTATCCTCCTCATTGCTCCCCATTACTCCCCATTGCTCCCCATTACTCCCCATTGCTCCCCATTACTCCCCATTGCTCCCCATTACTCCCCATTGCTCCCCATTGCTCCCCATTGCTCCCCATTGCTCCCCATTACTCCTCATTGCTCCCCATTGCTCCTCATTGCTCCCCATCCTAGCCTAGTCTGTTCTTAGCCTAGTTTCAACTACCTTCTCAACCTTAAAGTATATCCCTTATGTCCCCAATCAGATTACACCGCTACCAGAGTGGCGTCGTTTTGACAGGGTCCCATATGCTGGGGAAATGCTCATGTCAGTGAGTTGTAGGATAGATGTCTATGATTCCAACTGAATTATATCGCACCATCAAATTTAGTCTCAATGTATCAGAGTAATTCGTAACTTGTACTAAAGGCTAAGACAGGGTAAGGGAAATAGAGAAATAACTCTTTTGTAGAATTATCACCCTAACTGACTATCTATTGTATCTACCAACACGCTGTCTATAAAAACGCTAGCCTCATCCCAAGTGCTCAGCGCATTTTGGCACGGATCGACACAGGTCTCCATTGATCTATCTTTGAAGAGCCAATTCTAATTACTGTATATTTTATTTGGTCATGACTTGGTTTGGTGCCTTACTTTGCTGCTTGGGAAAGTGGAGAAAATCTGATGGCCTGACTCCCTTTTCTAGTGAGATGCCTCCCTTTAAGGCAAGAATACATGCTGTGACTATAAGCCATCAGGTAGCTAGGAGATTCTAATGTAACAGTACAGGGAGACCACCTTTATCGGATATATCAGTGAGAAGAACTTTATTGTTAAAAACAATACTATCATGGAAACTAGTTATTTTGGTCACTAAGGGGATTGTGGCTCTGATCAAAATGTGGAGAAAAACAAGGATCTGACCGATGAGACTGTATCCGAGAAGTACTATTGTTAGAAATACCAGTACGGAGACCCAACCATCTACTCTCTTCAGCAAACTTAGAAGTAATATCACGGGAGGAAATGCTGATAACCACTTTCCTTCTGCTGAAGGACCTAGCATTACAAGGGCACTGAGTTCACTAAATAATTATCCCGTGGAGATGCAGCACCTTAGAATATCAATATACAGGGACAGTGGAGAAATAATTATTCTCCCGGAGCCAGGTTTACTTGAAACAGTAAATGGCTGCTACCTTGACACCTCAGTTTAAATATGCTAATTAAAAGATAAGTTACAGAAGCAGGCATGCTATATATTTCCTATATTAAATAAGTTAACTAGGGATTAAATTAAGTTACTCAGCTATATAGATATACTTGATTCTCCTATCCAAGAGTTTATTATATTGCTTGGTATAAAGTACAGAGAGAATCCTAAGATTATAGGCTATACAGTATCATTCTTTAACAGAAAGAAGCAGGATATATTAAGGCGAGAATTGGCTTACAACCTGGGTAAAGATAAATAATTTATTATTATTATTATTAATTAATTAATTAAGTTTAACGTCCGTATCGAGCCGTTGGCTGTTATAGACACATGTGCCTAGGCAGTGGCTTAGGCCACTGCCTCTAGATGGTCCCTAGGGGCTCTATCAGCCCCCCTCTATTGCTTTTGTGTTCATTCTGCTCCTTTTCCTCGCCCGAGCTGCCTATCTGTGCCAGAGTCTTTGGGCTATGCCCTCCTCGGTGTTTATTACTTTCCGGGTGTCATCCAGGCGTGCCTAGATTGCACTTTCTACTATCCTTTCTCTCTGCTTTTCGCTTCATTTACCAGCTCTAGGCCCCAAATATTATCTCTAGAGGCTCTATCTATCTCTCTAGCTGCCTCTCCTGGGAGCTAATGCTTGTTGTTGCCAGGAAGGTTATCAGGGCCTTTATGGCTCTCTAGTCCTTAAACGAGCGGCATTCTGGGGCTGTTTCTCCCCATCCAGGTGGTGATACTCCTGCCTTAAACTAGGGCCCTGTACAGAGCCTGTCTCTGGTAGCACCATTGTCTGCATTCCATCAGTAGATAGCCAGTTGTTCCCTGTGGAGTCTGGCAGCTTTGACATCTAGGTGAGTCCTGGACGCCTATTTGATTTAGATCGGTATTGCTGCATGTCTAATCTTAAGCTGATAGTATCAATAAACAAACTGCTTTGGTGCTACTTCTAATACTAGATCTAGTTTCTATTCTTTCTGGGGTTGACAGCTATAGCAACGAGAGAGCCATCATATTCTAAAGTAGTATAGCAAGTTGCTGTTTTGTACCCGAAACGCTAATAGATGTATACTGTGTCTAGAGATGGGAAACGATACGGCGAGTCTAGAGCGTAAGAAAGCGAGTCGAAGATTCTGGCTGGTATTTATACGTTCGTCACAGCAAAGACAGCTAGGCTAAGCTAAGAATGAGGTGTCATCCTGGCACAGTACGTTCTCACTGAAATGGCCACGCAGATTTCTAAGCTACTAAGGTGTTCTACAGGTGACAAGGCTGCATTGCCTTGCCCAATGGCTCATATCAGATCTGTTCAGCTTCTTCTCTTTTCCATCTGCCCAAGTAATTGCATTGGCTCATAATTTAGGGTTTTCACAAGTGCGACCTCGATATTCGATTTTGCATAGAGTATGCTTCGTAATGATCTCAGACGCTGGCCTAATTCGCCGATCTAGGAGGATAAGACAGATAAGTCACTCTAACAGGAACTATAAGATGCTTATCGGCTATAGGTAAACGATGATAATTAAATAATGGGAGACCCATCTAGACATTTTAGCGTGCGTCTTAATCTTCTTAATAGGAGAAATAGCTACCAATCAGAGTTTTGTAATTGCATTAGTATCTTGGTTTCAGGGTTTTCTGCGCTATACTCTACGATTTTCAGCTTTCCAAATCATACTTTTCTAATCCTATTTCTATATGGTACTTGCCAGTGGAGTACTAGAGTTAATAAGAGGAAGCGAATGCTTCTGAAGAAGGTTACGACGCGGATTTGTAGAAGCAGCAGAGAAAGAGAGATCGATGTCTTCTCTATAAATTGGAAATACTGGCTACTAGGTAAGTGTTTTACCCCTGCCCCGCCCCCCAACTTTCCAGCCGACTGTTGCTAAGTACTGAAAACCGCTACTAGGGCTCTGATGTTTTCGGGCAGCAATCAAACTCGTTTCTTCATTCTCTGGCTCCCTAGGAGATACTCTCATAAAATACATTTTAGGTAAGAAGTAAGTAAGTAGGCTGATGAGATGGTTGAGGGCGGTGACTTTGGCGGCTCCTATTCTGCCTGTCAGGATCCCATAACTGAAAATCTGTTGTCCTGACAGAAGTATTTTCTTCTCCCAGTTTCTATCTCTCTCTTTAAGGGTTATCTCTCTCCAAGGATTACTGCTCTCTGCCCTGCGAATATGGCCATTGTCATCAATACTTGATTAACTATCAGGGCAGGCGCAGATATCTCTGAGCTGTCCTCTTGCTAAAAGAGATTGAACTGACGTTGATAGTATAAACACAGGTTATCTATATGATACTTTCGTGGTCCCTGGCAGGGTCCCAGTCTATAGTATAATTCAGTAACTATAATTGTTCTCTCTTCTTTATTTA